TTTAAACAGAGCTCAAGAAATATGTAAAGCCATCATGCTTTCTATGTAAAGAGCAAAGAGCCCTTTGATTAGACATTTGATTTCAAATTCCAGTGGGAGCACAGTTTTAGAGGAGAGCTATCTGTCCTTGATTGTACCTTGTTCCTCTTTTCCCCTTTTTGGCCCCACTGGATGGTTTTATGTTAATCCCTGCAGTACATATGGTTCGGCAGCAGTTCCTGGCATTCCTAAGGCTATGAGATAAAGTAAACCATATGCTCTGCTAAACCTCAGTTAATCCATTAGTTGTAGGTAATTGTTCAGTGGGTTTTACAGACTCGGTAAAAGACAGGACTACTTTTTTGTGAAGCACTTTTTTAATTGATGTTGTGGATGCATACATCTTGTCAGACAGATTTAATACAGAATTGGTTCTTTTAATCTTGAGGCTTTATGATGGAATTATCTTGGAGCTAATTTATGCAGCTGAATTTCAAACTTCAATTTTTTTTTCAGTTCAGCCAAAGTCTGCATGAGTTTAGCTTTGAAAAATAATAGTTAAATATGGCCTTTCATTACAGATTTGGGTTAGGATTTGTTGAAAAGAAATACACTGTTAAAAAAACTCTCATTTTAGTTTTTTTTACAATGTCTCTCAGGGCTAAATATTCACTAATTGTAGGCCTAATAAAGGACCCCCTCTGAACTGAAAATTGACAATTTCATTTTCTCCAAAATTAAGGTGAAATTTCTAAATGATAATCAGATTGAATTTTTTTTAAAAGTGTTTCTTGATTCTTGAGCAGAAATCTTGATTTTCAGATTATAAGAGTTTATAAAGTAAGCCTACAGTCTAACTGTCTTTATTTTAGAGTAAAACGTGTCATCCATTTCTCCATCTTGCTACCTTTTCAATTTTAAAATTCCCATTGGAAATGAGATGGGACCCTATACCAAAAAGGCCAGGTCAATTAAGCCTTGTTCTTCTACTTATCATTTTTTCATTTTTCAGTTGTAATTTTTTTCCAAAAATTAAAATCATAGTCCTTTTGATGATTATAATTTTCTTTGTAAATTTACTGGTAAATTCAAAGTTGTTATGAATAATTAGCAGGAAAAAAATTAAAACTTGTTGTTTTTTTAATCCCATGAATTTTCTTTAAAAATTTTGTTTGAAAGCTTAATTATATTCCAGACTCCTGTGTGTTTTACAGTAGTGTTCTAATATTGTTTTGATTACTGAAATTTAATTAAAGAAAAGCTAATAAGGATGAATTTGTTGTAGGGATGAAGTCAGATATAGGTACATATGTACTCAGGTTTTGCTGTTTTTTAAAATTGATGCAGTGAAATCTTAATGGTAATGCCTCCTTTTTTATACCCCCTCTTGAAAAGCAGGGGGTATATAGTGATGGGGATATCTGTCCATATGCCTGTAAAACTTTAGGGTACCCATCTCTTATCCACAATTCCTCCTATACCCCTAGATAAAATTTAATGAGACTAATTCCAAGAATCTTTATTGCATAGTACCACTGTGCACCTCCTATACTATGTTTTGATCAGACAGATATTGGGAGTTTCCAATAGCATAACATGCATGCTTTTCTCTCAAAAGTATTGAAGGTACTTATCCCTAAATTATCCACAACTCATGCTATACCACTGAATAAAATTTAATGAGAGTTTCACAGAATTTGTACTACATAATGCCATTTTGTTCCTTCAATTTTTTGTTTTGATCAGACAAATATTAGGGTTTCCAATAGCAAAAGAAGGACTTTGATGTTATATTGTGAGCTCAAAGCTAACAGTACCTCTAGATTTTTGTTTGTTTGTGGGGTTTTTTTTTCCTATCAAATAAATACTCTACCAAGATTCTCATGATATTTCAAAAGAATAAAAAGTTAAACTTAATCTTATTTTTTCTGCAAACATTATATATTTAGGAGAACCTGAGTGAAATTTTATTTGACCTGTACACACCACACTATTTTCACCACAGATCTTTGAAATCAAGCATTCATAATATTTGAAAAGTACAGATGTTAAAAAATTCACCAGTGCATGATCTTTGAAGGAAAAGAGAAAAAAAAATTAATTCTTCACCTGGTGATGCCATGAGTTACCCTATATTGATGGTGTTCAACTATCACTTACCTGTAACAAGCTAATCATTGAATAAAACAAAGAACTTGGTATAATAAACATTTTTATGCATTGTAACTGGTAGAGGTAATTAATTTTGTAGAGGTGGAACAAATTAGTCTATTGCTTTATGAGTTAATCATCATTAGAAGCAGTCAACAGAGCAAGCTCAGTAACAAAAAAAAATTGTCATTTCGCTGACTTCCATCCAAAGATGTTGGAATATTTTTTTCTTGGTATGTGGATGATTTTGTTGCCTCCCTTGATGAACTCTGCTGATCCTGATGTTGTAGGTGCAGATGTGTATGTGAATTGCAAAAGAAATAGTTTTCACATATGTCACATATTCTTCAAGATATAGTGTATATTTTTTGTGCTCCAACACGTGAACGAAACTGCAGAGAGTATATACCAGTATACATGTTCCATATCAAATAAAAATAGTATTGGTTAATATTCTCAGATTTAACTTTCGTTAACACAGAATCTAATTAATTAACTAATAAATAATTTGTTTTCTGCTTTCCTTTTCTTAAAATTTTCCTCCTAGTATTTTGTATAATATAAGAATATTGCAAAGAGAAAGCAGCGAGGTGTTGACTTATTTGTACTCTGATAAACATTTCAAGGGTAAAGGAGTTTTTTTTAAAACAAGATGGCTTTTGTTTTAAATAGTTGGCGAATGTTCACAAATTATGGATTGAATCAATTGTCACATATTTCACATATCAGACACTCTTGTGCACTATATGTTGCAACAGTTTTTTTTTCCTGCATAATTAAGGAAAGATAACTCTTGAAACAAGTTTATTATCCCCTTGCAAGGAATTTGGAGGGGATATATAGTACGTGCTTATGTCTGTGTGGGTGAGTAAAAGTGTAACAGAAGTTATACAAGACACAAGATATTTTATTGACTTCACCAATCAAGGGCCCAGGAAGGCATCACAACATTTTTAAAGTGCAATTTAAACATTACATCACATCAGAAAAAATAATATATATAACATATTATTCATATGTATTTAAAGATCAATATGCTCTTTTGTGAGGGGATATGCTCTGCTTTACGGTGTTCTCCTTATTTTTAAAGTTAAATTAACTGAAGTATTTTAAGGAAATACACTTTGAATTGAATCAACAATTGGTCGTTGGGAGAAGAGGCCTGTTACTAAGTTTACAGCAGGCAGTTCATTTCTATCAGCTGTTGTGTTTAGACATCCTTACCTCACACAAGTTCAGATAAAAATAAAAGTTATTTATTTTAAGCAAAAATCGGGTTTACTGCCAAAAATAAAAAAAAAGATGGGGAAAGAAAAAGCTTTTTTTTTATTTAGGTTAGATCTAAAATAACAAAAAATCTCTTATTCTTTATAATTAAAACCTCAGTTTTGACTGCTATTTTATGCAACTGGTTAATGAGAATGGTTGTGTATATATTTACCAACAACTGTGTCTGACAAGTAAAAGAAGACAATAATCACACAATTTAGAGCCTTATAATTTATAGGTGGTTCAGATGGATAAAAATAGAGTCGAAGAATTGACTCCCTCCTTTGATCTTCTATGTCTGTCTGTTTCCTGGGTCTGCTGGTAGAGTGTGCAAAAAACAGTTGTGGAAACAGACATTGGAAAATTCTAGATGAAACTTGAGGGCATTTTATACATTCATCTCTGACCTTGGCAATAAAACCAAATTACAACGGGGATTTTACTTCTTCGAAATTAGAGTTAGTTTATTGAATTTCAAAGAGTGATTTTGGAAGATGTGTATGTGCATAGTAATTCACTTATTTTTTATCAGGAAGTCTTGAAGCTTTGCAACAGTTGTATTCTCATCATCATCCATTACCAAAGCAGTTGTAGTATTAATGATTTTCATAATCTTTTGATCTAAACCTCATAATTGTGAATGAAATATGAATGTCTCTTTGATGCGGTCAAAGGCAGTGGTCAATCATCTTTTTTTCTGATTGAAAGTTTTCTTCTTATATTGTTTTAAATAATATTTGATATATTTTTGTCATGGTTGTTTTTCTTTGGTGGGACACTGATAATAGACTTTGAGAATTTCCAATTTATACCACTGAATGTCAAAGATTTACATCTGTGCTCAAGCTTTGCTAGATCTTGAAATATTTATTATTATTATGGATAAAGTCAAAATGTTGTGTAATATATGACAGTGCTGGTGTTTTAGATTTTATTATTTTGTCCCTTTGATCTCTGCAAAACGTCAGGGTAATAGGAGACCACCAGGCAGATATTCCTGAAAATGCAATATCTTCTGATATCCACTTTTTAAATTCCAGTTTCTAAAGACGGTCAATCGTATGATATTGGCTCTGTTGAATTTGCTGGCTCCTTCTTAGCTCCTGCTTGCATACTGGTTTGACTGCAACATATGGTGTTTGGTTATCTGGTTACATAAGTTTTCACAGAAAATTTACAAAAAAATATTAGATGTATTGAACCCAACTAGCAGCAAAAGCATCTGCAACCAAATAATTTGGAACTTGGCATGTACAGACCTATGTTCTGCAGAATTGATTGCTTGTGTGTATATCTTGGGCATGTCTAGTATAGTTAGTAATTAGAGTAAATTAAAAAGAACTTCCATTATAAAGCAAAATATTTGCTGATGAGTTTGAGATGCAAGATTTGTGAGAAGAAACACGAAAGAGCTTTCAAGTAAATGTCAAAATTTGGCAGATGTTTTTGATTTAAGTGCTCAGGCCATAATGATGTTTAACATACATAGAAAGCACAAACAAGAACACATTTGCTCGTTGTATATTCACTGTACCAGAGCAAATGATGCCATAAGATAGTAATTAGTTAAATGAATTAAACACAGGAATATGTAAGCTTTAATGATTTTATAAAACATGATTAGCTCTATTTTTAAATTTAGTAATGTAGGAAGTTTAGAAGAGTTTGCAGAAGTCAGTGTCTAGACTATTCCTACACCAAGCTTCAAAGTCACTGTTCAAAGTCAAAGCTGGCAAAAAGCACGCAGTTGCCTACCAGATAAAAATCAAAGACGGCCATCTTGAATTTGAGAAGTAGATTTTGCATAATTGCCTGCCACCCTGCTGACAAGCAGTAGCAAACATTCCAGAGCCATGAGAGATCTGATTCAGAAGCCATTGGTGCTATCTATAGATAGGGGAACATGATCTCACTGCCTGCACTCAAAGCTCACATCTGATGGGGCTCCTGCTGTTAAATTTTTACTCCCAATCTCCAAATCCAATTGTATAAAGTCTTAAGCTTTTAAGTATGACTTTACATCACATAAAAAAAGCAACAACTCTCATTGCAAAATAAATTCAGATGCATTGATATGAAACCATTTTAAAACAGATTCATAAAAAAAATTCAAGTGATTTGAGTTAAAAGTTAATACAAAGAAAAAGTAGGATTAATGGTGAACTAAATTTAGTTCTTTCTCTCCTGACCTCTGATGAAAGGTTAATGACCATTTTTATCATCATTCCAAGGGGGAACCCCTACACATGTTACCCTTATCAAACAGGAGTACTCCTTGAGAAATGTTACAGACATGAAACATATGTTTTACATCATTTGCAGGAAACGTGGCCCAATAACTCCTGCTTAATAATGGCTTCCTACAATCTCAGACGCACAGAAATTTTACAGTTTTCAAAAGACTAATGCTTTTAATAAGAATTTTAAATTGTTGAAAAAATTAAATTAAAAGCATTTAAACTTTGGCAGATGTTAAGTTACATTTAAAATGGTTCACACACACACTTACCTGATTAATACAGACAAGATTAACATAACTAGGAGAGAACATTAGAAATAAGTCCAAAAGAAAATGAAAAACCAAAAATTTGAACAAAAATGAAAAATCCTTTCAGAAGAAAACAGACATTTAAAGAATCCATGGTGGACAACAGCAGATGAAAGTGGGCTGATCATCCATGAGCAGGATACATACTTCTTTACATTCCATAACTGTTCAGGTTCTACATATGGGATAGCAAAGAAGTATGGACCGAGATCATAGTCGTTGCTTGCGTGTCCTCAGCATCAGAAACCTTGTCGATTGTAAGTCCATCAGTTTTGTCAATGGCTGCCAGTCAGGGCAAAAAAAGAATCTGAGCCCCGAATGAATGCCTCTATATAGATTTTGGCAGAGAATGTGGTCTAACCCTTGTGACCGCCAGAAAACTTGGCACTAATGCCAACCAACGCTAACTTCAAGTTCTTCTGGGATAACACATGAGATCAGTTGCCCATTTGACTGCTACCACATAATGCAACTGGTTTCTTCTTGGCCAATCAGATTGCTCGATATGCTGAGCCCCCTTTTAAACAAGATTTGGCTTGGTCTTCTGACAGGATGTAGGTATCTTGTTCTTACAACAAAGGATATGCCACTTTCTCACATGGGTAGGGGCAACATTAATCTGTTTCCTGAAATCTCTAATGAAGCTCTCAGCTGGATTGCAAAAAGGCGGTAAATCCAAGATGATAAGCTCCGCTTTGATGCAGTTTCTTGAAGAAATGTGAAATCTGTGTGGGTGCCTGTGGTTGAACAGCAGTTTTCAAGGAGTTTTGGCATATCTTGATGAGCTGGCAATGAAAAGCAAAAAATTACATTCCCTGCAGTTGAATATGTAAATTTATTAATCTGAGTTTTATATATCTTCTAGTTTTTTTTTTTTTAAAGAATAGGTCTGATCATTGATGTTTCAGCTGGCATTGCAAAATCTCAATGAATTTGATCATGTATGAAATGAAGTATTCATGATGTATGTGAAAAAAGAAAATTTATAATAAAGCAAACAATTTAGAATTTTTGATTTTTTTAATTATTGTTTTATTATTTAAAAATTTTCTTTAATCAATATTAAAGTTAACAATTTCTAAAATTTTTATTATTTATCCTTAATAGTGATATTTGTAAAAATAAAGTTATACGTATGTGAATTCAATAAAATTTTCTTAGGAATTTGCTGGAATTCTTGGAAATTATAGTTGGTAAGAAATGAACATTCAACATAATTCCATGTACACATATATGATTATTTGCTTGCTAGATTCAATTATTTTTAATTTTAAAAAAAGGAAGGATAAAAATATTTGCTTAATTTTTCATTGAAAATATTTTTAATATTAAAAAATAATATATTGAAGGTTTATATTAGCATAGGGCACTGCATTCTTATTTATATTTGATAATTTATGACATTGTATATCAATTGAAAAATATATTAAGGATTTGAATTCTCTTTTTTCCTGGGGTTAATAGCTGTGTATGCAGACCCCCCATCACCATCAACAATGTTATTTTTACTCCAGCAAGGTGTAAAAAGGAATTTGTGTATACACAATCACTCAGGTGTTTTTCTTGTCAGCTCAGAGTGGGGGGGGGGGGGATCTTCATACAGTGTTTATGAGAAGAGTCTGTCCTGGTAAGAACACATTCTCTCACTCCTGCTGGGATTTTGGGTCTTCCTCCATTAGTCTTTACATGTGGTAGAAGTATATGTCTACCATGTGTGTTGATTGCTGATGAGTACACAAAGGTCAGAGACACTTCCTTGGAGGGTGTAGCTTTGTGTGTACACAGTAGGTGACAGACTTCCTGTTGGGTATGGGCTACCCTGCTGTGGGGGACTGTGGCATTAAACAAGCATTGACAGGGAGGGAGTGTGGCACTGAATAAACAGTACAAGTTTATCTGACTCCTGTGGTGGGAAATAAGATTTTTATAATTTTTTTTATTATGCTGGTTTGGAATGTTGACCATATTAAAGATATTTGGTCAAGTACTTTTACTGTGTGAATTTTTTTTTAAACAAAAGCTTTTATTTATGTATAACATTATACCACACCTTTTTATGGAGAACTGATGATGGGAAGGTGATTGGTCATGTCCATATCAAGTGTCAGACTTCATCCTGAAAGAATAAAAAAAAGATTCTAAAAAAAAAATATTCTTCAACTCAGCTAATAAAAAAATACTTTTTTTTTTTTTTTTTTAAATGTTTTAAATAATTATAAATACATGTACATACTCTCCATTTGAAATTGTTTGATTTACAAACTGGAGAGAACTCATCAGTTATTTTGTGTACACATTATCAAAATAATATATTTAATATATAAATATTTTCTTTTTTTCCCAAGTAAAATTTAATATTTTTAAGCATTTCTAATACTAGAAGGGGTATATCAGTGCATATAAATTTGTAAGTGCATGACTCTGAATTTTGGAAAGGTACCTAGTGTTTTAAGAAAGCAGTCATGGTGCACTTCAGGGACCTAAAAGTTTAACTGAAGATGAAATTAGAAGTCAAGGCCATATAGTAAATTGGTTGGCACTGTGCAGGAAAAAAAAATCACTGAAAAATTCTGAGAGAAATTCGAGCTGAACCTAGCAGTATGTCTCCTCCCTTCTTCAATTGGCTTTGGCAATTTGTAAAAATGCATCCCATACTTGGATAAAGATATTAAAAAAAAAGCTGATTGCTTCTGAGAATTAAATATTAAATCAGATGAAACATGTAGACATAAAAGTCCTACAAAATTTGTGCATGTAAGAAGATTATTGGAAGTATTAATTTGAAGCCCAGTAAATGTGTATAACATCTAACCCTAGAATTAAACACATTCAATTTTTTTAAAAAAAAAATTTCACTGTAAAGGTTTTTTTTTCTTTGGAGGAAGATAAGGTTTGGGGAATCTGTTTGTTAGGGATCATCTCCACAGTGGATAAACTGAGAGCAGGTGGAGTCTGTAATGTCTACACAAATTGTATGCTATCATGTGATCTTTAGCTTCTGTTCGGGAGATATATCTCAGCAGGATACCAGAGCATATTCCAAGATGTGGTGAATCTCTCTCAGGAATGAGATGCTTTGGAATTTTTAAAAGGTGTCTGAAGAATTTTTCATTTCTGTAATATTCGGTCCTGAAGAATCTTTAGAAATGTTTTGTGCCTCTATTATAGACTACAAAAATAATGATAATCATTGATCATTTCTATGGAACCCTATTATACCGTCTGTTGCTGAGGTTGAGGGAATTGCATCTATTGCTGAAATTGAAAATCAAATTTCAAGTATTTGAACTTGATCTTGAAAGTCATATGTATGACATGACAGAATTATAATTTTTGATGTCTTAAAGTATCATACATGTACATAAAAATTGAAAAGTCCTTTCATTCATATTTGTATAGTGCTGATTTGTTAAAAGCATACTACACTACTTGTACTCATTTTGGCATATTCAAAATTAAAGTGTAAAATTAATCCAAGAATTATTTTGGCACAATCATTTATTATTGTCATCAGTAATTCTTCATACATAAAATCTGTATGGAAATCATATTTTAGGAATATTCATGAATTATAGCCAAAAAATAGATAATACAGTTTCTTGCTCTTCATATTAGGCAATCATGGTCCATCATTAAAAGAATACAGTAATTGATGATCAGAGGAGGAGATTATTTCATCATTTCAAATACTGGTGTAAATATTACTCAGACTGGTTATCTAAAAATAAAATCAAGCAACTTGCAGAGTACTATATTGTTTATATAGGCTTCATGTTTGTAGTGGTAATGACTGTCTTGATTACTCTGTAAAGCTAAAATGCTAGCAATGAAAAGACTGCATGTGGCCCTGAATTAGTTGCATGTTGATTATTAACTTAATTTGGAACAAAATATATTCTTGTCTGCCATGTTATTATAGAAGGTTGTTACTATAGTGTGTATTAATTATTTAAGTAAGCACTTAACATGCTTAAGAGGTGAAAATTAGGCTTAGAGTGGTTGTCATTCCAGAGGATTAGTGTCCAAAGTCCGTTTAAACAGGAGCCTCGAAGATTGACATCTTTGTCTTAATTTCTGACACAAAATCAAATTCAGAATCAATTGTTCTAGAGGCACCAGTAATGCTGATGACAGCTACACACTCAAAAAAGATTAATGATATTAAATATCGGATTTTTCATTATCTGCAGTTCTCTCTGTAACACATAACTTCTCTATCCTATAAATAGACCCTCGAGGATTCACTCACCTGATTCTAGAAGTTTTTCCTCAGAACCTACCCCGGCCATTGTCGCTGTCACAAGGAACAGTTTGAATTTTCTCTGTAACATGATGACCAGTATAAACATTGATTACCTTTGGCAGTCCAATTGACTAAAAGCCATGAGAGATCAATAACAGGGCTTGAAAGCATGTTATGGAGAAGGGGAAGGATGAGTATAGGCAAGAGCTTGCAGACAATGCCTGATTATGAGGAATGGTCAATAGATTCAGAGGAAGTCCTTCAACATTTGCTAAATATTGGTTTGACGTATCACTACCCTGGTATTTAGTGCCACCAATTTGATTAGGGATAACAAGTATTCATTTCGGTCATATCAATCATCTTGGAGAGGGCATGATTTCTTTCATTTTGTGATAACTTTCTATATTTTCCTTGCCGTTGACGGATGATTTGATTACATAATACAATGGGTTAACTGTTTTATCATTCAAAATACAGATGTTTTAGTCTTCTTCTTTTTTTTTTGAAATAGAGCAATCTATTTGATTGCCATTTTATATATATTGCAAATAGCAACAGTTTAATCAGCAGTAAAATTAAATTACTGGAAAAATAAGCCCATTCGATGAAGATTGTAAATGTAAAAGCTTTTCACACAACAGAGTATTAACAGAAAACTATTGATCCAGTAGGCAAGAGACTTCATAGGACAAAAATGTCTCAACTTCTACAGAAATGTTTCATATATATATGTGTGTCGTAACTTCTTACCAGTACATGGTGCCCTATATCCATTGGTTACCTCCTTTGTTACTGTGGAAACCAGAACAGGTTTCCCTGTGTCATAGAAACACTGTGTGCAGTCTGCTGTCCGATATAGTTAGGGATGATGCAAAAATGCCTTTTGCAATTTGTGTGACACAGCTGAGGGAGAAAAAAAAATCATTACTGGGTCAGCTTTATTCTTTATTTTTGTCAACTCAGCTTATTGTAATTTGCCAGTGACGAAAACCACAGACTAGTGACCTTTTTGGTAATTAATAGGCGCCTTCTATGATGCCTGCATTTTTTATTTGGTAGAAGGGGGAACTAAACTACCCCATGAGTACAAAAACTACTTGGAATGCAACAGCAAAATCAATATAGGTCGGAACATCACTGCCTAGAGAGAGATGGTTTCCATAGTAACATTTTTTTCCTCTCTCTCTCCTTCTCTCCAAGCTGAATGAGAAGCCAGTCTCTCTGTTGAGAGAGCACTGCTGAAGCTGTGAGCCATAATTAGAAATGTCTGGTGGCTTACAGGGAAGCAGGGGGGCCTATCTGAGATTTAGGGGAGTGATAAATCTCCTGTCTGTTTAGAACTTCTGTTCACTGCTGCTACTGTGTGCTGCTACTTGTGTATTATCATGGGAAATAAATTTACACTATTTTAATGGAGAAGATAATGCACCTTGCCTTTTTTTTTATGTGAAGGACATTCTCGTTATTTTAAAAAAAGGAAGATGTTTTAAACAGTTTTGATTTTGCTGATTTTTGATAGAGAGATAATTGCCAAAATTTAGACCACTTGTGTGATATTAGATGATCTAAAAGAAATTTATTTAGCCATTGAAGTGTAATTTTAGCTGACATTATTATCAAAGCAGTTTTGATCATTTCTTTACAATAATTTATGATAAAATGATAATTAAAGCAGCCAGGAATTAGATGTAGATCACAGTCACATGCGAGGAAAATGCATTTGTAGCTACATTCATCAGGTTCTTTTATCAGTATCTTATAAAACTGATTTTTAAGGAAACTTTTATTATGTCAAGGACTAGTCTAGAGCTCTTGCCATGATTAAAATTCTGTACTTTCGTGGTTCCACAGTCTCATAAATAAAGAATAAATTTAGTTTCAAACAGAATTCATTTTTGATTTAATTTGTTTTAAAATGTATAACTTCTGGTAGATCAGATCATTACATCTGGGGGTCGATGAGGATTAAATGCTTGAAGGCCCACCATTGATATTAAAAACATTTAACCGGTGGGGGGGGGGGTGATTTTGTGGGTATGAAAATATGTTACACTGGGGAAGAGGACTGATGTTGTGGGTATTAAAAATATTTTACCAAGTGAAAAGAAAGGGGGATTATTGATAAGTTCGTATTTTTTTTTATTTATACACTTATTATAAGCTAATGTAGATATTGTGAGTGGAACTAAGATGCAGTGCAAAGGCTATAGGTTACTGAGGTTGAATATAAGGTTAATTACTGTGTGATACAGGGGCAATTGACCTTGTAAATGTCCAGGTCAATCTGGACAGAGTTATCCTGAACAGACCACAATCGGGGTCAGTAGGTCACACTGCTTATCTGACTCATTGATAAAATGCACTCACACATGAATGAAGAAAATATTTTAGAAGTAGATTGATGTGAGGAATATAGATAAATCTGTAGATAGTTTTTTTCCTTATCTTTAATTATTATCCCTTACAAGCATCATGGGCTACAAATATCACACAGATGCTTTTTTTGGGAAGGATAATTAAATCTAATTGTAGGCTTCTGCTATCTAATTTGACATTGGAAGTGATATTTATGTTGCTAATAGTGTACAACAGATTGCATACAAACCAAAAGAATACTCACATAGTATATCTTATAAGTTAGCTAATCTACGAAAGTAATGTGAAAGTAAACAAAATTAGTTTGTCATATGTATGCTTTACTACTGAAATCTAAGACTGCATGAACATTATGTACCAGGTATAAAATCAAATTGTAAGTTGTGAGAAAAAGCATTGCAAACTTTTTCAGTTTACCCAAAGCGGTGTGATTGATTGAGAAATATGTACTGATGATAGAGATCTAATTGTATTCCTGTCTCAAATTTATGTTCTCTTATAAGATCACAATTATATAATAAATTATTTGAAAAAAAAGAAAGAATAAAATCTGTTCGCTTTTTTTTTTTCTAGTGCTATGCGGATTCTTCTATCTAAAATTCCACGACCGTGGATTGTGGATGAGAAGAAGGATGATGGATATACTGCTCTCCACTTAGCGGCTCTCAATAACCATGTGGAAGTGGCAGAGCTCTTGGTCCACCAGGTATGGTGTTATCAGTACAAGACTTTTCATTGGTTAATATCATTTTGACTTTTGACCCAGCAAACTTGCATGAATAGTCATGAAATGTATGAAATCATTCCTCTAGAATGAATCAAACTCTTTACTTATATGAAAGTTTTTATTTTTTTAATGATTGACTTATTTGGTATTAAAGTACTGGTAAAGCTAGGTATGCTGAAATGATTATTACTGACATGAAGTGCTGTAATAATTCAAATGGATAAAGTGTTGAATGCAAAATTTCCTTATTTATATGCATGTTTAAAAGCGTTCTTGAAGTAAATAGCTAAGAACTTTTCTGGTCACAGGATGTATGTCAAAATGCAGTGATCTACTGTATACGGTGTTATTTTTGTCCCGTGTTCTTTTCAACCTATCCCACTTGCTAATGATTTTGCCCCATTTTAAATTTGACCAGACAAAGTTGTGTTAAAGACATAACTCTTTTTTTTTTGGAATTTGCCCATTTTGACACGTGTTTAAATTCACCCACTTGTGAAGATGGCGAAAGATGCGAATATGAAACAGGGGTGAAAATTTCCCTGTATAGAGTATCATGAACAGACTTTGTACCATTGGAAATATTTTTCAGGGGAAGGCAAATATGGATCTTCAGAATGTAAATCTTCAAACAGCTTTACATCTAGCAGTGGAAAGACAGCACACACAGATTGTCAGGGTATGTAACACCACACATACGGATGTGTGTTTTTAAGGCCTGTATGTTTGAATAAAATAGCACTTTGAAGAATTGGTACTTCAAAAACAATACTAAAAGTAGTATGGCAATTTGACATGCAAACAAATTCATATGATTGAAGTGAGGTATAGCTTTGAGAGTTTGTCAAGCTCTGTACATTAGTGTTCTTTTTATCACCAGGTATGGTAATTCTTTTCTTGTGTCGTTCATTGCAGTATTATAATGTACATGTATATGGTGGACAAGATGTTTAATGTGCAAATGTTAGTCTACCCTAAAGTAACTTTTCTTCACTTGAAAAAAATCTCCAATGTTCACAACTGCTTTAGATTTTTGACAGAAAGCAGTCTTTATGTTTTCATAAAACAGGAGAGTAAAATTGTAAATATAGAAAGTCACATAAATGTTTTCCCAACTTTTTTTTCCGCTTTCTATGAGATATTAAGGACAGATGATACGATACAAAAAAAAGGATGCCTGGATTGGTATATATTTTTGGACCTAATTTGGATGTAAATGATGCAAATATCAAATTTCTAAAATATCAAGAACTTGTTAACTTTCTGTGATGTTCAAAATTCTACCTTTCTGCAATGACCCCTATAAATCTTTACATTTTTTAAATCACTTTATAGGACATTATTGTGATATTTTTGAATGAAAAATTAAAATCTATGTGGTTAAAATTATTCATTTTACTTATCTAAGCACGACTTAAGTTGTTATTTTCATTGTTTTTGATAAAAATGTTTGTTTGTATCATCTGTCTTTAAAAATTTAAATGTATTTCACCAGTTGTTGGTGAGAGAGGGCTGTAACATGAACATCCCCGACAAGGACGGAGACACACCACTACATGAGGCCCTTAGACACCACACCCTGTCCCAACTCCGACAGCTGCAGGACATGCAGGATGTAGGCAAAGTATGTTCCACATTTTTGTTTTAATTGTAAATGGCAGAGTTAAATACATTGGAAGGCTTCATGTTTGATTTTGGCCTTTGCAGTCTGTGTTCCAGTTTTTGATGGGTATGGGTAAGGCATACCCTCTTTATTGTGATACTGAAGTCATCAAAGGGGATAAAAAATGTAAAGAATTTTTGTAAATTTTTATGGGGTTTGGAAAGAGGAATAACAAAAGCAATATGTGTATTCTATGAAGCACTTAATGACACAAATGAGCATGACCTTCAAGAAATATATAAAAGGGGATAAAAGCTTTTAACATATTTTTTCAATAATAACAAGTAAAAAAATGCACTAATGATTAAAGGAAAGACATCTTTGATCCATAATGATGACATATTAATACAGACATCATGTCTGATAATGGGGAAAATACATTTTGATGCAGTCATTTTTTTTATGAGTTTTGGAACTTGTAATCTTGGAAATCTTTTCAGTTTATCATCATGTCTAGAGAAATCGGTTACATGTATGTGCAACATGTGATAAAATTCCATTTCATGATCGTGTCATTTTTGTGAGGTTGTTTACTAACCCGGAGCCTGTGTGTTTTTTTCTAGCTTTTAATGGGATTAGGGACCCCTGGCGCTGACAAGAAGTCCAGTGCTTCCATTGCTTGCTTCCTGGCTGCCAACGGAGCAGATCTGAACATCAAGAATAAGAAGGGACAGACACCACTAGACCTGTGTCCTGATCCCAATCTGTGTAAAGCCCTGGCTAAATGTCACAAGGAGAGACACAGGTAAGGAAGTCAAACTGGGAGGTCATGTTAGTGAGACGTGAAGGTCATGGGCCACAAAGGTCGAATGTCATTTGGAAAGACTGATTTTGTATGGTTGTACATTTCTCTGTTTTTTTTTGAGGTTTTTTGGGTTTTTTTTTTAAAAAAAGACTAGTAATTTTTTTTATTCTCAAACTTATAAATTAATATATTATCAAAAAATGTTTTCAATGTATTCAAAATTCAGCTGAGTGAAAATAGACAAATAAAAATGTTTGTGTAGGGATTCACATTGCATGACATTTGATTCAGATATTTTCTTGGTTATAAAAATGTTACTATTTCGTCCATTTTATGTTAGATCCTTTTCTGTTTTATAACCAATTTGAATCCATTTTCAGTCCTAACGGCACTGCCTCCAACACGGTTATACTACGGAATGACCAGGAATCTCTGGAGGAATGCATGGTGTGCTCTGACCTGAAGCGGGACACATTGTTTGGACCCTGTGGACACATTGCTACTTGTTCCTTGTGCTCCCCACGGGTCAAAAAGTGTCTAATGTGTAAAGAACAGGTCCAGTCTAGGACTAAGGTAACTTATTGTTGTTTATCATAGCATAGGATTAAGTGTCAAAGAACATTTTGAAATGTTATCTTACAAATTACTTTAAAAGACACTTTAGGTAACTTGTTGTTTATCATAGCTTAGTATTAACTGTCTAAGAGTATTTGAAAAGTTATTTGACAAGTTACTTTAAAAGAGATAAATAAATATGTAGGTAAATGTTTTGAAAGAAAATACATATATTGAGAATAAAGAATTATAAAAAAAAAATGACTTTCTGTCATCATAATCATATAATGTCTTTGTTCTAATTAAGACTGATTGTAATTTTGTGTGTGTGTGTTTTTTTTTCAGATTGAGGAGTGTGTTGTTTGTTCAGATAAGAAGGCGTCCACTCTGTTCTTGCCTTGTGGTCATATGTGTGCTTGTGACGGTAAGTTTGGAGTTTTTGTTTTGCTTTCATACAAGGGGAAACAACTGGAAGAACGACTTACAAAGTCTTTGAGGAGGCACGAAAACCTGAAAAGAAATTCATTTCATGTAAAATATTCAAATAGTATATGTTTCAAAAAATTTAATGGCCATTATCAGCAAGTGAAAGAAATGAATCAATATCATAAACACTGTTCTGATTTCAGGCTGTGGTCAGTTGATGAAGAAGTGTGTACAATGTAGATCATCTATTGAGAAGACTGTGCCATTCATTGTGTGCTGTGGGGGAACTCGTAAGTCATTTTTGCCTGTATCACAAATGTAAATCTTTCTAATTTTCTAGTCTAAGATTATTGAACAGAAGGAAGGATGAATTTTTTTATTTGATAGATAAGTTTGGAGAACTGACATGATATTTGTGTAACTGACTTGATATTTGTGTAACTGACGTGATATTTGTGTAACTGACTTGATATTTGTGTAACTGACACGATATTTGTGTAACTGACTTGATATTTATATTATGAGTCACTGACATGATGAGTTTAATACTGACGTGTTATTTGTGTTATGAACAGCCCCTCCCGCTCCTCAGCCCCCTGGCATCATGAACAATGGTTCCCGTGACAACACAAAAGACATTCAGAAGCTACAGCAACAATTACAGGATATCAAAGATCAGGTACGATGGTTTGTCTGACCACAAGGGGAAGAATTTCATATGTCAAGAAAGGCTGAATTAAAATTGTATTATTTTTTTTCTTGATTCTTTAAAAGAAGGTCATTCTCAGGATCCATCTGTTATACATGTATAGGCTGCCAAAACCATCTTAAAATTTTAATTCAATTTGCAACACTGTATTATTTGGATCCAAAATGTTAGAATATACAGGTTTGCTTTGTACACATAATTTATCTTGAAAATTGAGAGCACAAGGACTACAAAGGGCAAATTACATTACATCAGTAAGCAGATTGGTTTTTTTTTTTGCTTTGTAAAAAATTGAGGTTTGGTTTTCTTTTGAGTATGAAAATATTTTTGAAGTTAAATCTTATATTTAATAAGTATGATTTAGTAAAACTTGGTTCTTATAGTTTGATAGTCTGATAAATCTTATAGTTAATAAGTATGATTCAGTAAAACTTAGTTCTGATAGTGTTTGTTTTCATTTTTTAGACCAGCTGTCCAGTTTGTATGGATCGTCTGAAGAACATGATTTTCCTGTGCGGCCACGGCACATGTCAAATGTGTGGGGATCGAATGGCAGAATGCCCGATATGTCGGAAAGCAGTGGAGAAACGCATCCTTCTTTATTAATTTTATACTTAGTATATATAAAACTCTCTATTGTCAAATAATCTGAATTTATGGCATTATTTATTTTATTGAAATCTCTGTGGAATATAATTCTTTGTTAAAAGAGAGCATAGCATTAAGTCCTTTTTTGATGTTTCATTTGTGATATTGTGAATTACAAGTGTCTTTGTTAAAAATCTCAGTGTTGTTAAATCTTGTTAATGCAAAATCATCTTGCAAGTTTTGAAAACACTTCTAAACACTAAACACTGCCTGTTTATTTAGAATTAGGTAATTTTGTATTTTATTTTATGTAGTGATACACAAAACATTGTTTTGGAAATCCTATTTTTTTTCAGTCATTCTTCATTCATTTTCTTAACACATAAAATGTTATTATAAGTTTAGTTCTGTATGTCCTTGTTTTTAATCAGTATATTTTTTGGTATTGTAATTCTACACCCTAATATTTTATGGGAGTAAATAGTTTTTTTTAGCAAGTTCCCAGGAGAATAAAGGATAATTAAAAGTAGCTTACTATTTGTCATAAATAGATCATGATTCTTTTGGACCTTAAAAACAGAAGGTAAAAATTTTCATCTATGTACATATATCATAAAAGCATTTGATTGTTATGCTGGATGAAACCATTTTTTTCTGAATAAATACAAGTAGTCTGAAAAATCAATATATTATACATTATATACATGTATTGATATGATGCATAAAATTTTTCCTACCGATTAAAAAAATGAGAAAAACCGGAAAGGTAAGAGAAATGGTAGTGAATGCCAAGCTAAACAGACAGTGTGACATTTGTTAATTTTGTTTTTAAGTGCAAAATTTTAACTGGAATGGGATAATAAATTTGACAAAGTAAATTGAGAAATTCTTATTTTTTAATAAGATTTTATTCAGAAGCTGAATTAAAAAGATATGTTTGAAACTTGGGTATTTTGAACATCAAATATGTGTTAATCATTTTCGTAATTGCACTTTCATGTACTCCTTCCCAGCAGTGGCCATTGTTGTAATACCCTTGGACTTTCGTAAACTTAAGTCATAGCTATAAATCCCCATCATGGTGCTTGTGTTTTATTTCAGTATTACTCTTTTGTTTATATACCATTAGATATGAAATTACTGTTTTGCATTTTGAATAGCATCTTTGTAAATTTTGAAAGTACATGTACAGTAAAAACTGTCTAATCTGACACCTGTGCAAACTGTTTCCCTGTGAATTCTGACCTTTGTTTATATTACCATTTTACTATTTTCCATGTTCTTAACACTGTGTAATTCAACAGTTTATGTCTATTCCGACACAATATTGGTTCTCCCAGTCCATGTCGGGTTAGACAGGTTTCACTGTAGTATGTTTTGTTGTTGGTCATCTTTAGGGGGTTTGAGTAGGTACATTGTACTTTTATGTAAATTTTCAACAGCAATTGTTTTCTAGTGACATTTCATTCTCTTTTCATCATGGATATTAAAGATCAATCAAATTTGAAATTTTTTTTCCTTTTATTTAATGCAGCATTATTTACGTAAATTGTTTAGCAAAGGCCAAACTTGCATGTTGGTACAATATTACTTTGTCTAGAGGTGAATTGCTTAAAAGAACTGGAATTCCATATTAAAAATACCAATTGCAGTCAAACTATATATAACAAGGTTAGATCCATTCACTTGTTAAAACATGTTACAGTTATTCAATGTAACGTGTTCCAGATCACAATTTAACTGTTATCTCAAATTGTCATTCAGTTTTGAGATACAATGCTATAGTAGAATATAATTAATATGCAAAACGTTTTTTACAAGGGGTTTCAAATTTCATGATTTCGATATATAGAACAAAATCAAGGCAAAATCAAAATTTACTATAAATGCTAGGAATAGAAATTTTCTTGTGTCAACATAAATCTTGCTATAAAAAATCTAAATTTTATTAAGTCGTAGATTTTTAATAATTACACATTTCTGTGGATTAATCAGTTTACAGTTTTCAGAATCTTGCAAACATTCTTTTGTTTTGTCTAGTAAGATTTTTGTCACAGTTTCAATGCTTTTTTTCTACAGGTATATTAAAAAACATCATGTGCAGATATGACGGATATGATACTGTTATTTATCGATTTATCTGAAATTTGATAGATGTTGGCAATCTAAAGAGATAAAGAAATTCTAGTGAACATATATTTGACTTCTCTTATATGTTCTTGGGACAGAAGAAAATTTAACGTAAGTCTGTATTTTAAACACGTATTCCCTATTTGTAATCAATTTTTGCATGAACTCTTGCACAAACTTGTTTAAACTAATTAAGATTTATTTTTACTCTGTTTTATTGAATTGTCTTTTTCAATCACAGTTATTATAATTATTGAATAGTTAACATTGAAACTCGATGTTGAATCATCTTAGTCGCTCAGGTGACCTACCGCTACCTGTTTCTGTCAATCAATGTGCACTGTCCATGAACATTTGAACATATTCAACTTTTGAAAAAATGATTTGCAGGTAGGCAGCAGAACTATACTGGTACTATTGTTTGCAGTCTTTCTGTAAAAGTCTACTGTCTTTCTGTATATTAAGCAAACAAACCAAGTGCATGGTTAAAACAAGCAAGGGTGCCTCTTCCAAAGTTGTGAAATTCATGATCCCTGGGTAAGAGGTTCTGGTATTGGGTGGAGGTGTATTGATCATATAGTGAAATGCATTAATTCTTGAAAATCTTCTCTGCTACAGCAACAAACTCAGTGCATGGTTATGAGAAGCAAGGTCGCTCCTTCCAAAATTGTGAAATTGATGGCTACTGGGTCAGAGGTTCTTGTGTTAGTGTAGGGCTCTATTGATCATATTGTGAAAGTTATTTGAAAATCTTTTCCCCTGCTCCTGCATATTTAGCAAACAAACGAAGTGCATTGTTTTGATAAGCATAGGAGCCTCTTCTTAAATTGTGAAATTCATTGCCCTTGGTTCAGGGGTATTGGTATTATTGACAATAATCATTTTGTTCTTTGAAAATCTCCGCTCCTGGATATTTAGCAAACAAACACATGGTTTTGATGAGAAAAGGTGCTTCTTGCAAAATTGTGAAAGCCATGGGCAGGGATTTTGGTTTTAAGGGGAGGGGGGGGGGGTATTGATTATATACTGAAAGGAAAAAGAAACGTAGGGTAACTTACTATTCGATAATTATTTTACTGCTTGACCGAAAATTATGAAAATTTGTCTGGGAAGTATTTTGTTTAGTTTGCATCTAAATTGGTGTTCGAAATTACTCAACCATAAAAGGTATGACGTCACATAGGGAAAGTGGTAAAAAACCAAGAGCACGTGCAGATTGGCGATAACAGGTATGTCAGCAAAATTTGTAATACAAGTTGATACTCTGGAGATATACACATTGTTTTTCGCTATTTAAAGTCAATTTGAATTTCTTACAAAAATGGTACGGCTGACGAAGTTCAATGTTATCTGGCAATTGCATTGCCTGAGAACAAACAAAGGCAACAATAGGTTGTTGTGGATTTTCTACCATAAGACATCTTATCAGTCCCCAGAGAAACAGTGGAAGGAATTTTGACCAGCCGCGACGGGAACGACAGCGCGTAACGAGGCCATGTCATACCACCTGCGTAATCGCGACGTCACTACCACCAAAACCGCTTTTAATACAGAAGGCAATCACAGTCTTCACTTCCACCCCAAAACTGGAAGAAACCGATTGCACGAGTTTAGTCTGCGATTGTCAACTTTACGGAGGTGTTCGTATCAAACGCGCATGTGATGCCTGTATGCCTATTTTTGTCAGCAAATTTAACCCCCCCCCCCCCTCCCCCATCCAATGTTGGCTGTGAATATTAAGACTTTCTAGCAAAAAATCACATTAACCTACTCGACTGTGTCCATACACTCTACCTTTGTCTCCAACTGAATATATATGGGACTAACTGGCCTGTAGAGTAAAAAGGCGTCAGAATATCCCAGCGCCTCTTTACAAGCTAAGGGCTATCTTGTTGGAAGGGTTGGATAATATCCCTATGAGAAAGATAAATGCACCGAAGACCTCCATGCACAGGAGTATTAAGGCTGACCGATACGTAAGAGAGAAATGGGTGAATTAAAAAAAATGACCACCAAACTGAAATTTTTTGGAAAAATTCAACTGCTTCTGACATATTTTTCACTTATATCATCATATTGCACATGCATTCTAGTTTAAAATCCTGAAGTGGCAATAGAATAGACAATTGGATTAAAAAGTTTCAGAATTTTTGTTAGTAAAATTTCTTTTGAAAAAAGAAAATATCATTACACCTTAAAAGACTTTCTAAAATACATAATCACAAGAAATTATAGTTTTTTATGCTTCAAAATGGTAAAAGGGGTATAAATGATTAAATCTAGACCTTGATTGAGTGTCTTCTCTTGTATGTGTGACAAAAATATGACTTTTTGATTGTCATTTTACATTATTTTTTCAATTCTGGTTTGAAAAGTTTTAATATGAAAAAAATATGAAGCAATAAAATTGCCCAAATTTCACTTTTTTGTCCGTTCAAGCCAATTCCTTACATCTAAGCCAAAAAAGAATTTTTATATATGAGTTCTCTTACAAAAAATACTAGATTTTGAAGTGACTCTATGTTACATTATTGTGTTGCACTCCTGACATCTGATATGTATTTTATTTATCATTGTTTTAAAAATTATAACACACAATAACCCATTCTTACTTTGTAAATTAATTTGTCGTTTTGATATTTTTGATCGTTTACGGCAGGTTTTTCATATTTTGAAGACCTTAACACATGATTATTTGCAAAGTGTAATATATATAAATTGTATATAAAACTATATGTGAAATGATGAAAACTATTCCCTGAATTGACAAGAAAATTTCTGTAATTTGTTGATAGACATAGTGTTTTGAACATAAAATAGTATCAAACATTTTTTTCCAACGCATTTTTTAGTAAAGATAGTTAAAAAGCATTGGTATTATAAAGCAGTTTTGTTGCACTCCTGACTGCAGTAAAATTAAAAAATTAAAACCGTAGAACACAAAAATTCATAAAGTGTTGGCAACATCAAGTGGTAATGAAATTGTGCAATACTTACAGTCTGATATTTTATAATTAAAACAGATGAAAGTATTTGAAATTCACATTTTATCTGGAATTATTCCCTATTTATGCCAAAAAACTAGCTTAAATGTATATTTAGAAGATAAAATATATTTTATAGCATATTTTTCTTTAGAGGACAAACACAGTAACCCACCAGAAAAATTCTACTCATCATTTTTTCTTTATTTTTATTCTTATTGGATGATTTATAATTCTAACATATTTGTTGCACTCCTGACCAAAAGCATTGGGACCTTTAAAGTAGAATTGTGAGGTGAAAATTACATAAGTACTTGTTCTGTTGTTTCAGTGAAGTTGAGGAGGAATTACTTGAATTTTATGACAATTTTTAGTGTGTTTATTTTTAACATTCATTTAAAAAATCACAAAAAAGATAAAAACACATCTGAATTGATAAAATTGAAAAAGGAAGGATTTTAATAATAAAACTGTCAATAATTTAGTATTAAATTATACAAAAAGATCATTATTAATTAATGAATACGTCTAAGCATGAATAGAAGTGTTTTCATCACACAACTTGAATCTTTAAAAAAATGTGTTGCACTCCTGACCATAGAAATGTAGATCTGAAGCACAGACAGACCCAGTAATTAATAAATCTATTTGGTAAAAATGTTCTTTGTGTCTTTCTTTTCCAAAATAAAAATCAGAAAATCATATAATGATAATAGTATTTTCATGCTTGAGAGCAAAACATCAAATGTTGCACTCCTGACATTATTGGGTATGCACATATACTTGACTCTAATTAATGCTGCTTGTGATTTATATAACAATTTTAAGTTTTAAAATGTATATCAGTTATTGTTTTACACTTAGAAAATTCTTTTTTGTCTTAATTTTCTTTCAGAATTTTACAATTGATGTTTTTTTGGCAACACTACATTTTTTCTGTTGCACTCCTGACATGGTATAACATTTTTTTAAACATCAGCCATGACCACAACTTGATTAAACAAAAGTTACTATAGCCCACATTTAAAGCTCAATACTTTGAATATTATCAGGAAAGTCTTTATTTTCAACATAAAGCATTATTATTTATTTTACAGATCTCCAAAAAATATTGAAATTTCAAAATGTCACAAAAAGGTGTTGCACTCCTGACAATTTTAGCATCATTTTTGGGCATAACTTTTTTGTTAATTGAGATATCAACGAGATATTTGGCAGGTATTTAGACACTATCGAAAGACATATGCTGAGACATAGAAATCTATTTTCATTGCCTGTATTTTTAGTGTGGGTTGATAAATATGCGTTTGGTCATTTTTTTTTTAATTCACCCAAATAGGAGGTAATGACGACATTTTTTATTTCACTTTTGTGGGGGTACCGTTAAATGAGTTT